GTTAATTGGTTTCCCTTTTCTTTGTTGAAGAGGGTCTGTGCAGTCCTTCTGCCTAGTCTGCCATCTTGCCGGAACTCCAAGATAACGTAACATTTTTAATAAGCCCAGAGAAAGACTGCCTGACTTGCATACAAACAAGAATAAATGCAATTGTTTTCTCCTTTGTTATCCACAAATAGCCAGGATAGTAGGACAACTTATATCTTCTTTGACTGAGATTTAAGAACTCATAGTACTATCAATGACTTCTCTCTGTTTATCCTCTATTTCTATCCTTGTTGTTCATGCTATGAAGAAAGAAAGTTTTCTGCTTTCTTTTATGTTTACAAAAATCAGAATCCAGATGAGTTTTCCCACACTTGGGCAGCCTATTTTTTTCTTTTTTTTTTTATGTGGTGCAACTTGCATTTTTTGTTCATATATATATATATATATATATATAAATGCATTTTATTGAAATATAATTTATGTACAGTGAAATACACAAAACTAAAGTGACATGGGTCAATGTATTTCTTTCTTTTTTTTGGCAGTGTTCTCTCCTCTCCCCTCCCACCCTTGGCAATCAACAAAGAAAGTTTCCCTCCATATAAAAAACCTTTCCTTGACCCTCCACAGTAACAAACTAATACTATATTTGTCCTTCTGTGACTGACTTATTTCACTCAGCTTAATATCCTCCAGGTTCATCCATATTATGCAGTGTTTTGCAGACTCTACATTATTCTTTAGTGCTATATAGCATTCCATCACGTGTATGTACCAAAGTTTGGTCACCCACTCTTCTGCTTTAAATCTTAGAGATAAGTCCCTTACCAGCTATGTAATTATTGGCAAATATGAATCTGTCATATTTTTTTTACATGCTTTTTCATGGAATTGACTGTTTTGTTTCATATAATTTTCTATGCTGAACTCATTTTGTTTATGAATCATGTTATCACTTCCTTCATTGCAATTGTTTTAGTATTTGCTGAATATATGCTGGTCCTCTTTTTGATATAGAGGTTTATCATTTTTCTTTGAGGTTACCTTGTGATTTATAGTTTTCTTCCCAAGTTTAGGACAGTCCATTCTATCTTATAGTTGCCTTGACTTCCCTACCATCTGGAAGTTCTGTAACTACACAGTTTTTTGGTTGTAGTTGTCCTCATTTGTCAAATGATGTCTCTGATTCCCTGTTTACAATCTTATAGGCTTCTTTACTTTGGACACTTCCATAGCTGGGTTGGTTTCTGGGTTATGTCATCACGTGTGTTAATTGTCAATTGTTGTTTACTATTGTTGGTTCTCTGTCTAAAGGGCACCCTTTAGCATCTCTTGTAAGGCTGGTCTTGTTTTAACAAATTCCCTTAATTTCTGCTTATCTGGAAATGTCCTAATTTCACCATCATATTTGAGGCACAATTTTGCTGGGTACACAATTCTTAGTTGGAAATTTTTCTCTTTCAGGATCTCATATATACCATCCCATTGTCTTCTCACCTGCATGGTTTCTGCTGAGAAATCCGAGCTTAGTCTTATTGGTTGTCTCTTGCAGGTAACTTCCTTTTTCCCATGCTGCTCTCATGATTCTTTGTCTTTGGTTTTGGTAAGTTTGATGATGATATGTCTAGGTGATTTTCTTTTGGGGTCTATCCTGTTTGGGGTTTGTTGGACTTCCTGAATGGATATATTCTCATCTTTCATCATACCAGGAAAATTCTCTTCCAACAAACCTTCAACAATTTTCTCTGTGGTTTTATTTGTCTCTTCCTGTTCTGGAATTCCAATTACACATAGGTTATTACTTTTGATGATATCCTACATGAACCTTAGGCTTTTTCATTTTGTTTTGATCTTTCTTCTGATTTATCCCTTTCCAAAGAGTGTTCAGGTATTTGCCCTCAATTCTCCTAATTCTGTCTTCCATTGATTCAATTCTGCTCCTTTGCCCATTCAATTTCTAATCTATTTCTGAAAATTTAGCATTAATCTGGAATTTCTGTGTGTAGATTTTGTATCATTTCTAATTTTTCATTTATTTTGTTATTTTGTTCTTGTATTGTCTTTTGAAACTGTTCTAGGGTTTTCCCTGCGTTTTCTTTGATCTGTCTCTCAATTCATTGAAGATACCTAAATATAATTCTTTTGAATCTCTTATCAGGGAGTTCCAATGCTGTGTCTTCCTCAGGGATGTGTTTTGGGTCCGTATCCTGGTCCCTTGTTTCTCCTGCTTTATCTTGCTTCTTTGTGTGGACAGTGATGCTCTGCTGTCTCTGAAGCACTGTGTTTATATTTAATTGGTGATTGCGTGTTGGAGTGACTTGCCACAATTTTTGTTTTATTTTGTTTTTAAGTTATCTACGCAAGCAGGGTACTGTGCTCCTCTATTCACTAGTTGACAGCACTTATACATTCACCACCTGTCTCCTTTCCTGTTGTCAGCCTCTTGTATGTCCCTGCCGACCTTGGCAAACAGAGCCTATTCTTAGGTCTCTGGAATCCAAATGAGAATGCTATAACTTTAAAATCCAAAATGGTTGCCATTTGTAAAGACTCAAATCAGCTGCGCCCTTGGTCACTTTAAATATCCAAAATGGCCACAATCTGTAAACATTAAAAATGGCTGCACCCTCAGTCACTTTAAATATCCAAAATGGCTGCTGCACGAAAATAATCAAAATGGCTGTACCCTCTGGACAGCAGAAAGTCAACAGCTCAGGTTGTCTCTCTCCTTGCTGTTTCCCCTCCTAGTCATATGCCACCAGCGCAGTCATCCCTGTAGCCCTTGGTGACCCGGGCTGATCTTTATCATTTCTCAGTTCCCAACACCACTTGGAAATATTCAGGCTGCTGGTCCTGTCAGAGTAGCTGACAGTCCGCAGCTCCGACTGTCTCTGTACTCACTGTTTTCGTTCAGGTTTTTCCGCTAGTTGGTGCTTAATCCACTTCTATATAGTTCCTTTCAAAGCTCAGGGCTCTAGGATTATCTTCTGTTATCTGTCAACTGCTTTTTCTTTTCTTTGTTGAAGAGGGTCTGTGTCCCTTCTCTGCCTATTCCTCCATCTTACTGGAAATTAGGCAGCCTATTTTCATATGAAGTTTCATGAAAAGCTGAACTGACACTTATTGGGCAACAGTACCTATTCTAAGCACACCAAATGCTCATCTTGGCTGCTGACAAGGAAGTCTGAAACACTTCATTTTGACCGTTACCTTAATTTTAGTATGGGCCTTAGGATGACATCTGTATTCATAGGCTTTCAGACTTTTGTTACTGTCCAAAAGCATGCTGAGTCTTAGAGGCATACCGAGTATTTGCTACTGCTGTCTGATAGGTCTATGATAACAAACTACATGTTTTATAAACCTCTGCTAGGTGTATATAATTGCTCACTTACCCATTTATTTACTGTAGACTTAGTTGTTGCAACCCAGATTGCAGGAGGGGGGTCAGCTGATCTATCAAGCTCCATCTGAAAACAAAGTATAAAAATGTTGCTTTGTGAAATCTCCACTCTTCTGAGCTGCCAGAACTAGCTACATATTATTAAATACAAATTCTTTCATTCAACATTTTTGTTAAATGGCATCTTTTAAAAACTGGAGATGCACACAAGAATGAGAGGGGTTTCTTTGTTAAAGGAATTCACAGCCCTGTAAGAGTATAACTTCTCACCAAAAACAGCAGTACAGTTTTAAGTGTCCTTACTTGAAGCAACCTAAATGGGTACAATAAAAAGGATAAACACTTTCCATGCTGTTTTTGCTATTTTGGTTTTTACATTCTTTCTTTAATAACAAGGAAATGTAATCTTTTCTTCTTTGAAATGTTTATAGTGAAAACCTTCTAAAAACATAGCAAAAGTAAAAAGGTACCTTGTAATTCACCCCCCTTACCTGATACCTAGGAGCTCTGGTAGCATAGTGCCTAAGGCACTTGACTGCTAACCAGAAGGCCAGAGGTTCAAATCCACCAGCCACTCCTCGAAAGGAAGGTTGGGCAATCTACTTCTGTAATGATACTGTCTCGGAAACCCAAGGAGGGGTTCACTATGAGTTGGATCCGACCCGATGGAACAAAACACCACCACCACCTGATACCTGTGAACAGTTTAGTATGTATTTTTCCATATTTTTAAAATATTGTATATGTTAAAATACACATACGGGCAGCCCGGATTATAAACGAGTTCTGTTCCTAAGTCTGTCTTTAAGTCTAAATTGCATGTAAGTACACTTTGTATCTAAGATCAGTTAGTGAAACATTTGTCTTAGTATATCAAGTACCTTTCTTTGAATAAAAAACATTAAAGAAACACTTCCAGATACAGTTAAACATCTTTAACACAATAATATAATGTTTTGACATACATCACAAAGTACTGCCTGTTTGTTATTACGAACTATTGTATATGCCCCAAAATTTCAATGTCATAGGCTTTATGGAGGTTTGTTTGCACCTACAAGTTGTATGTAAGGGTTGTACTTATTAACTGGATGGTAACTGCTTATATACTAATATACATACATAAGGAGCTCTGGTGGTGTAGTAGTTAAGATGTTGAGCTGCTAACCAAAAGGTCAGTGGTTTGAATGCACCAGCTGTTCTACAGAAGAAAAACAAGGCAGTCTGCTTCCATAAAGATTTACAGCCTTGGAAACCCAATGGGCGTCACTATGAGTCAGATCTGAATCGGTGGCAGTGAGTCTGTTTTTTGGTTTTATATTATGCAAGTGGAATCACTCTGCATACATCCACTATTCTTCCTGCACCAAAAGAATGTAGGTTCAGAGGGGTAGGCCAGGGCTGGATTTCCATCTAGCAGGAATTCTTCTGAATTTAAAGTCATGTTCCTCATAACACACAGTTATGTTTGTGCCTGAGTTCTTTTAGTTTTTTTCCTCCACAGTTTAAAGGTCCTTGCAGCTTCAAGGTTGGCAGTTCAAATCCACCAGCCACTCCCACAGAAGGAAGACTGGACAATCTACTTTCATAAAGATTTACTGCCTTGGAAACCCAAAGGGGGTTGCTATGAGTAGAAATTGACTTGATGGCAGTGGGTTGGGTTTGGTTTGGCAGCTTCAGGACTCATAGTGAGCAATGTCTGTTCTCACCTTGTCTGTCCCCATCAGCCTGCTTCCTGCAAACATACTAGGTTGTATGATTACTAATTCAGAGCCTCAACTCTCCTGCTTTTCTAAAGGGTTACTTTAGAGTTAGCTTTTTTCCTTAGTGTGTGTCATCTATTTTAAAGACGTCTACTGGCTCACTTTTGTCTGCACTCTTAGGCATCCTCTCAGTTGGTTGATTTGACCTCCATACCTTTTATCAGTCCATTCTCCTATGCTGTGGTCTGGGGTTTCAGATGTCAGTTTCACAGATGATTAGTATTTGCAATTATGTTTCTTGTTTTCAGATGATTTCCAAGAAATCACCCATTTTAAATTTGGAAATCTCTTCACTGGCATTTTAATGTACAATTCCTTGATTATCACTGAGGTTGGGCATCTGGGCAGATTTTCACTGGCCATTTTTTAGACTAGGTTTCACATATGGATGGTGACTGAAGACTTCCTTAAGTGCCCTTCCACTCACATCATAGGTTGTGATTATCAGGAGAACTATGGGACAGTGATGACTTGCAGTATGAACCAGCTCAGTCCCTTGTCTCCTTCAGAAGCACTCTTCTCCATCCTTATTCTTTAGGTAGTATACACATTTCCTGTCCACGTTCTGCTCTGCTATTTGCTCACAGATGACTTTAACTGTTCAAATTTCTCCTCCTAGGGACAGGTTAGGAAAGCCAGACAACCTCAGGAACATACATGGGACAATCTTACTAGAATTCACCAGTGGAAGAGCCTGTGTCACTAAAGGACCCTTCTTCTACAGATAACTTAACAGATTTTGCTGTATTTGGCTAATATGCATAGCAGCCTGAATTATAAAACTGAAATATGTGACTTACCTTGAGAACCGGTGCCTTTTCTTCACAAATTAGTACCCGAATGTCAGGGTTTCTTAGGTCTGTACAGTAAATCTTCCTGTCTCTTCCTCCAGAATACACGTGTGTGAAGGTATCACTGACTTGCAGAGCCCATACACCTTCATCATGAACTCGGTACGTTGCTATACATCTCTGCTGGCCAAGGGACCAAAGGCGAATAGTCCCATCAGAACTGCCGGAAAGGCACTGGGAACAAAGGAAGTTAAGGTTAAGAGACCTGCCAAAAAATTCCTACTTGTACTTGCCTGCTGTGCTTTGCACTTGGCCTCTCCGCTGATTCCACACGTCAAACATATAAACTTCTAACAACTGGTACTTCTGCTTCTAATAAAGGCTTCTGACAAACATGCACCCCACACTGAAATGACCAACGGCTACAGTATGTGCACGCTCAAATAGGGGGACCCTGGGAGCAAAACTGCCTTTGTCCTCTACTTGGCCACCTGCTGATTATTAGTAAATCCTGCAGGCAAATCTTAATTACGTTAGCTACTACTAAGGGAGACTGAGTTTGAAAGTAGCTAAAAAGCTAAGGTTGAATTCTCACTAGGCCTGTGGTTCTCAAAGTGTGATCCCCACAGTATCAACATCTCCTGGGAACTTGTTAAAAACTTAAGCTCTCAGGCAGAAACGTGGGGGAAAAGAGGTTGTGTGATCCCTTAGATCCTAGACCATGCATCTAGAGTAGGTCAAAGTTTTTGGGCACTTGGTAATTGGCAGCCATTAAGCAACTCAAAGCAGATAAGGAAGGCAGAGAGGATGGGGTAGAAATCTTCATCTGTTTTAACAGGCTCTCCAGATGATTCTGATGCACACTAAGTTTGAGAAGCACTGCACTAGACCAGTAAGCATTTCTGAGTCCTCGGTCACACTTCCTCCTTACCCCTTCATTCGTGGCTCTGGGTTCCTGATGGCCTGCCAGGTCTCTCAGATTCTACTGACTGGAGCCAGAAAAAGATGACTGCATTGCAGGTTTACCACTCACAGTGTTCATCTTGGACATGTCCTCTACAAGCCTCAAGTTCAACATCTATTAATATAAACTACGGACCCTCAGCAGTCACAGAGTTAATATTTGCAATTTTGACAATTTCTGATGGTGCAGGAGTGTCAACTACATAGCAGTATCTAACGTTGCTGGCACACAAATCAGGACCAAACACACTGTGAGTCTGGCAAAAACAGACTGAACCAGCCACCCCAACCCTGCACTCAGCATGCTTGGTGTTCTCTACCAGTTACCAAGGTAACTTGCAGAAGAGGACAGAAATATTGTTTCTTTCAGGAAAAATGGCCCTGAGGAGAAAGCAATTGCTGGACTAATGTATTAAATTAAGTAGGCAAAGAGCTTTAAAGAAGAGAAGATAGCTGTGGGCTTGTAGGTATGGAAGGTGTATCAATACATAAGTCCTCTCAGAATGTTAAGGATGTACTGGCCTGCCCTGTGACCTGAAAGGGCTTTTAGAACTCTAGATATTGTTATTCAAATGAACGCATACTAGGAGATTCTCCACACAAGCTGACAAGAACATAAGTGGCTTAATCATGGATATCACTTAGTTCACAGGGGAACCAAGAAATTAACCAACAAAGCAACTATCAGGAGTAAGGATATAAGCAGACCTTCTTGAGTGTTTTGGGGATGGTCATGCATACACAATTGTAACAGCCAATAGAGAGTAGTCAAGTGCCAAGGTAAGTCCACAGGGCAAGGAGTGGCCTGATGCACTGAGACCTCTGGACCCATAAATTAGGGTGAACAGGACTTGTAAACCAGAAAAATCCTGTAAAACACAAGCACATGACCGACTCAGATAAAAATGGCTGGTGGCTATGCTCAGTAATGTCAGCACCAAATCAAAACAACTGCAGTGGTGACAGAGCTACTTATAAGTAGAAGGCCCTTGAGAAGAACCTCAAAGAGTGAGATTTGCCAAATAAGAATCTCACTGTACAAAAAAGGAAGTGAGGCAATCAACTGATGTCCATGCGATTTACTGGCCTATTATAAATACCGTACCACCGGTCTCTGAGTAAAATATCATAAGACCCTACATTACAGCTTATAAAGCAACTCTGCAGGATGCAATATATACTCTGGTCCAGGAAATTATGTCTGGTAACGGTCTCTTCTACAGTACATAAGCTCAAGAACCAGTAAGTCAAAGTTTCTCCCCACCCCTTATCCCAAATGAATAGCTCTTTAAATTATAGTTGTTTTGTTTATAAATTCCCTAACATAAGCATGCTGTGTTAAATTTGCCTGAGTAAGAATAATGAATAAGAAAAATGGATTGTGTCAAAATTAGAGGAGAAATGATACCAGCTTAATTATGCATTCTAAGACAGGCAGCTTCTGAAGTTGTGCTACATCACTGCCTCTGCCTATGGCATATGCAGCTGACTCTGGGTGGAATGACTTTGCGACTATATATATGATATTTAAATGATCTTAGATAGAAACACATTCATTACTGTATATAGAGAAAACAAGGCCCAGCTTTACAAAGTCTGCAGGCCCACAGCCATCTTCCAGATACCATCTTGCCCTCAGCCCCTACTTAAGGGCAGTCACATGGAGACAATGTGATCCAGTCCAATCTTGGACAAAACTAAATGAACAAGGGTTAGGCAACCATCTCAGATAGAGCCTTGCAGCTACACTGCAAAACAATGAGAAGCTCACTATAGGGGGCTTCTTAAACTCACATGAAAATGGGGTTGTAAAGGAACTCAAGAGCTCTAGAAAATGCCCTGGTTCATAGACAACAATATACTTATTACTTCTAATCTTCTAACTGTACAAAATACTCACTGTGATTCATACTGTGCAGATGAGCAAACTAAGGACTAGTAAAGTCCTCTCCCCAAGGCCACCCATTACATTAACACTGAAATCCTTTTACATCTCTGAAGACCCCCAAAGTCCTCGCCAAGCCTCTGTTCTTCAGATTCTGAAAAACGATTTTCTTCTTTTGGCTAGTTTTTCAAACTTTGCTTTAATCTCTTGAAACAAAGGTTTCTGTTTCACATGGTGTGTGACTGACCTTCACGAAACAGTTCAAGGCAATTTCTACCATGTAACGAAATGGAGTAACAGATGGAAGGTGTTTTATACCTCATCATCTTTCTACTCTCCTGTTTCTAACCCTATGGCAATCAATTCCAATTAGCTCTGGACTTATCACTGTCCTCTGAAAAAAATGACTAGGGGAAAGCATGGGAACATGACAGAAGAGGTAAGTCATATCATGATATGGTGCTCAGTTTTTCTTTTTCTTTCTTTTTAAATGACCTACATTGATGAGAAATTATCTTTTCCACTACTATAAAACAAATACAATCATGACTTATAATTCACAAATGTAGCTGACATAGTACTATTACATGTTCAAATGTTACCAAAGTGGTTTTCTTTGAAATGCTGACATAAAATTTATAGACTACATCCACATAATCAACTGACAGGATATGCCCTGAAGCCAGACCCACTGTGAGGAGATTTTCCACTTAATATACTGGCAAGAAGTACTGAACACCAGAGCTCCCTTCTGCTTAACACAAGGTAATATTTACTGTTTCTCTAGAAGCATCATAAGTGCATATATTCATTTGTATTAGAATTATTCTGAGAGGTCTCGCCTCATCCAGAGCAAAGAAGAAAGAAAACCAAAGACATGTGGAATTCTGTCCAAGGAACTGGCAGACCACATGATCCTCAGCCTATATGACCATGAGACCAGAAGAACTAGATGGTGCCCGGCTACCACTGTCAACCACTTGGAGGGGGATTGGTGCAGGAGATTCTGGAGAGAGTGGAAGAACAACGTGGGACAAAACTCAAAATCATAAAAAAAAAAAAAAAAAGACCAGGTTTGCTGGTCTGATAGAGCTTGGTGAGACCCCTGAGTCTATGGTCCCTAGTTACCCTTCAGGTCTAGAACTGAACTCATTCCTGTGGCTTCCAGTCGAACAATAGACAGGCATCTGGGGTGAACATTTACATCAGGTAGATACATTTCGTGGAGCAATCAATCATGGGAGAACAAAAGGGCAGTGTTTGCATAGGGCAACAGCTTAGGGCATGGGGGTACATGGGAGGGAAGGACACATGGAAAAGGTAACTACGGGGAAGAAGTGGGAAGGTAACTGTTACATCGTGGGGAATTGCAGTCAATGTATGAAACAAAATGTGTATGAACTGCTGTATGGAAAATGAATTTGTTCTGTAAACTTTCACCCAAATCACAATAAAAATTAATAATAAAAGAATTACTCTGAAAATTTCTTGTTCTGCCTTTATTTAAAAGTGATACAAATATAAAAGAGTGAAAATATGGATTTTGTATGATCAAATGAGTATTTTATGGATTTAAAAATTAGGCCACAGTTTATAATATGAGTGGCTTTTGGTTCAAAGCAAGTTATGCAATAATATACAAAGTATGGAAACTCCTACTTCATGAAATTTTTCACAGGCCTGTGGGTAAATGTCCAAATGAAAGTATTTACCTGTGTGCCATCTCTGTTCAACAGCAACGCTTTTACATTATCTGTGTGCCCTTTAAGCTTCATTAGTTTTGCACATGTTCTTGGATCCCAAACTCTTAAAACCTGAGAAATTTTAACAAAATATTACACAAACTGAGTATATACATGATCAAATTCAAACAACAGACAACTTTCATTAGCCAAATGACAACCATTAAATTCTGAGAAACAAATACCGTTTCTGCCAATGGACACCGTCTAAGGCTCCAACCTTTTCAAGTACAAGGAAACTCTTCTCATGTCACAAAATGCACAGGACTCTTCCCTCCCCATTCCTTGCCCTCCCTCTCCCCAAGAGAGTAATAAAACTATTTGTTCAAATAAAATGCTCTTTTTTAGCATTCACCAGGCAAAATCACTGTCTATATATTTAATAATTACAAGGATCAAATTACAGGCATACCTCAGAGATATTGTGGGTTCATTTCCAGACCCCCACAATAAAGCAAATACTGCAATAAAGTGAATTTTTTTATTTCCCAGTGCATATAAAAGTTTACACTTTACTGTAGTCTATTAAGTATGCAAGCATATTATGAAAAGGTCTGAAGTATTTTGAGAATTACCAAAATGGGACACTGAGACATGTAGTGAGCACATGCTGTTGGACTTGCTTGATGCCAGGTTGCCACAAACCTTCAATTAGTAAAAACAAACAAACAAAAAACATCACGCAGCATCTGTGAAGCACAATAAAGCCAAGTGCAGTAATATGAGGTATGCCTATATTTTGGTTTGTTTTCTGGTGTTCAAATACAGAGTCAACTTCAAGGTCCCTCTTACCTTCTCAGTGGACCCTGATACAATGATTGTTCCCAGTTGATTCATTGCCAGGCTATAAATGGAATCTTTGTTCCCACTTAAAGAAGAAGCTATTAAGAACAAATGGAGCTAAATGTTAACAAATCAGCTATTTAGTAGCTAATCAGCAAAGACTGCAGGTTTTATTATTCATTTTAAACAAATTTTTATGACTACTCTAAGGAAAAGGAATCTATTTACAATGGAGATAATTCTAAGCTGTCAAAATTTACATCTTCTCTGGGTTTGAATATATATAGTGAGTGCTCCATAAATATTTGAAAAATTGAATTTCAGTGCCATTTAAAAACTATCCACATAAGTATTTTCAAATGTATGTGCCAGTAAATGTAAAAAGAAAAGTCGAAATCTCACTAGTACTCAATAAAGTACAAATCAAAACAAAAATATTATTTTCACCTACCAAATCAGACAAAAAACAAAGTAATATCTGATTCTGAAAACAGTACAGTAAAATGGCACTTTCATACATGACTCATGGGAGGATAAATTGGTACAACACTTCTGGAAGGAAATCAGGCAATGTGTACCAAGAATCAAAATGTTCATGCCCTTTGATTCAGAACTCAACACTACTGAAGTGAAAAAAGTGAAAAAAGTTGTACATAAACCTGTCTATATAGTATGATCCTAATTTTACAATACAAAAACATACACACAGAGAAGTTATACAGAGTAAAGGAGCTAATTCAAGTAAAGCATTTAGAAAAGTGTCTCCTTATAGTAAATGCTCAATAAAAGTTAGCTATTAGTATTATAATCATCAGGAAAAAACCTGTATGACCTACTCTCTAAACCATTTTAAACAAGACGTTTCTGCAGCAGCTTAATCACTAAACCTGACTCTGACCCTCTGACAATCCTTGCTTTTATTTTTTTCCTTGCTTCCTCCCATTAGTGTCTCTTCGAAGGCTTATTTTATCTAGAGAGTTAGAGCTGAATCATGTACACAGCATTCAACAGGGACCAGCAACTGAATCATTGAGATAGCATATAGCTGAAAATCAGAACAAGGGAAACATAGCATTTAGATCTTCACATATTTACTGACAAACGGCACAGAATAAAATCCAAGAAATTATGAACGCTAGCCTCCCAACTTGCCCCTCTTGTCACATACTAGGTTATAAAGTAAAATTGTTTTAGCTATGTCGATGTGAGTATTCCACAGTCACGACAAACTGGATCTATGATGTAGGGTGCTAGACAGCTCAGGTCCATGTCCCGAACATAGACCTTTCAGGCCTGGCTTAATCAGAAATGTGCTCCTAAGAGTCCCCTCATAACTGGCCTATAGGACTCTAAGGTAGACTGGGATAGGTGTCAGGCCAAGTTTCAGATCAGACTTGTGTAAGTCTGATCTGAGAGTCTGGGATCTCTTAGTTGACAAAGCATCCATGCTCTTAAGCTGCTGTGAATGTCTCTGAATTGCCTTTAGAAGCACCCTAGCCTCCCTGGATTCTTCTAAAATTGGCTGGATTCTCTCTGAAAGGGACCTTCTAAATCGGCACTGAAAACCTTTCTTTCCTCCGGGGCATTTTCTATCTTGGTGATTTACTCAAAGGCTCTTAATACATAGTAACACTTTTAAAAGCCCAAAACTGCCTACTTTGTCAGGTAATCACCACTTCCATCAACAATATCTGCTTAGTGTGTGGCTTTGGGCCAGGTAATGCCATAGGAGATACAACGTAGTAGTAAGACAGACTCTTCCATCCTGCAGGAACTCACACTTCAGCTAAGGAGCTAAGACATGCACGTGTACAAAAATAACCAGCTTACACCTGGAGAAATTACAATTTTTAGACCACAGTGAGGAGCTAGCCCCTTGTTCAACCACATACTTGGGGGTTAGAATGCTGTGGGAGTAGCACTTGCAAAATATGAAACACTATCTCAATGCAAACCTATCAGAGATGTTTTATAAACCATCCTGTTTTTATGTCAACTTGGATCATTTTCAAAGAAATTTTTTTCAAGCACCTTACTTGTGACAGTGTTATTTGAGGCAGTCAATGCTGTTAGAGTATTCACATCCCATAGGAATATCTGTCTGTCCAACCCAGCCGATGCTACCAGTTCTTTATCCTTGGCATATGCTAAGGCTTTTACATAATCCTGTAATAGAACAGACATACTATGATCTATTTTGTAGACCGATAAGAAAATGAGCCACCTAAAGTACTGGGATCTCAGTATTAAGCTAAAGACACTAAGAACTATGGGAGCTCTTTTACCTTATGTGTCCTTAATGTTGACATGCAAAATCCCTTATGCGCATTCCATACTTTGACTGTCGTATCAGAAGAAGCAGATATTACTAGAAAAGGCAAACGATTAACACCTTAGTATGACTTATAACTACTTTAAAGCTTTATTAATATTAATGTGGCATCATTTCAAGCTAATGTTCACATACATGCACACATACACACAAACTATTCATCCACAATATTATTTCAAACATATTTTTTAAGAAAAATTTCTGTAAATTTTTCATACTTTAATTTTTTACATACTATAAAACCTAGAAGTTGAGCTTATCAAAATTAGAAGACAAAATATTAATAAGGCTTAAAGAAGAATACATACTATAAGTCTACTTACATATACTCAAAAGCAGGTAAAACTAAACAATGTTGCTCAGAAGTCAGGAAAGCAGTTACCTTTGGGAAAGGGGTAGTGAGCCAAAGTGGGGCACAAGGGGACATCTGGTAATATTTTGTTTCTTGATTGTGTCTGTTACAAAGGGATGTTCACTTTGCGAAAATTTATTGAGCTATACTTCTAAGATTTGTGTGCTTTTCTGTAGGTATGCTATACTTCAGTTTTAAAATCTGTTTAAAAGGGAAAAATATATCAAATTGAATTAAAAACTTCCAGAAACCCAATAATCCAAAGAAATACTTACATGTTTTCCCATTACAACAGAGTACGATGTCGTTTACCCAATCGGTGTGGTGTTCCATAGATGCTATGTATGGATCTTGCTGGAATTGAAAGAAAATCACAAGAGTGCTTTAAGTTTATATTAGAGGATAAAACATAATATATGTGATAAAAAACCAGTTGCTGTTGAGCCAATTATAACATATGGCTAGCCTATGTTCATCAGAGTAAAACTGTGCTCCATAATGTTTCCAAAGGCTGATTTTCTGTAAGCAGACGGTCAGGCCTTTCCTCTGAGATGCCTCTGCATGAACTCAAACTTCTAACCTTTTGGTTAACAGCCAAGTACATTAAATGTTTGTACCACAACATACGACACTTTTATATTCCTCAATTAACATAATACATTGTTCTAAAGTCTTAAAATTAACAAGTGAATTGAGGGTATAATTTCACCAAACTGGTTAGGATGCTTCCAGATAACTGATCTAAATGGAAGTTTTTTTTCCAGGTCAGTTTTATTATTAACTATGAGTGAGAATGCACTTGACAGCACCCAACAACAATAGTTTCTAGGACAACTGCTTAATTTCTGTGCACTGCAGTAGTAAAGGCAACAAGCTTGCGGCTAGGCATTATGGGTGACATGAAATGCTCTAAGAGGTTTACTAAAAAGCATAGACTTGACTGAATCTGCAGGCTGGGGGTATGTGAGTAAGTGGTAGTAAAGGCCCATAACACAGGAGCAGAAGTGAGTCTCAAGAGTGTCCCCAGCAGCCTGGCCTGACTGTAGAGTGAAATGAACACTTTTCTTTTACCTCCTCCTGCTGTTTAGTTTCTGAATTAAATGTTCCTCTCATGGTATCTATAGTCCTTCAGAGAAGGCAAGGGCCAAAGGAGTACTGACTACCTGTATCACCATTTCACTGCAGTAACACGAGAGTTCTTCCATTCCTCTCAGCTGGCTTGAACAGGAGAGGTCTTTTTAAAAAAGAATATTTAGTACATTCTACACCTAAGAAGGGAGCTCTGGTAGCATAGTGGTTAAAGCACTTGACTGCTAACCAGAAGGTTGGCGGTTCAAACCCACTGGCCACTCCTCGGAAGGAAGGTTGGGCAATCCTACTTCCGTAGTGATACTGCCTCGGAAACCCAAGGAGGGGTCTATATGAGTCGGGGCCGACTCGACGGCACATAACACCACCACCACCTAAGAAAGGCAAGTTGTAGACACTTCATGGGCAAAGAGAACAGCTCTCTGCAAGTCTCAAAAACTGTGCTAGTCAATCTTGGCATAAAATGAAGATCAGAAAAATCTTGTCTGAGGGCAGGATAGGAAGCTTTCCAGATTCTTCCAGGTTGGTTCTTATGAGTGTTTGAAATACTGTTAATTCCCAGAAAGGTGACATCCCAAATCAAATATTAGTACCAAAAAGCATTTCAAAGCCAAACATAAATGTCTTTCATACTTTTCATGTTTTTGATATTGGGCCACTACGGTTTTCATTATTTAAAGAATTCAAAGCCTGCTGGGCCAAAGCCCAGCAACAATGTAAAGTAGTGGTTCTTTTCCTGGACTAAACATCAGACTTCTAGAGCTTGCTAAAAATAAATCAAATTTTAAAGAAATACAAGGTCTAGCACCAGGGTTTTAGAATTAGAGTAGGTTCTAATCTTCTGTCACTTACTAGCCATTTAATCATGGACCTCTCTGAACCTGTCTTCCTGTCTACGACAATGGATCATAACAGCTTCATTGAAGGATTACTGTAAGACTTAAATCAACAAACCAAAACAAACCATGGCAAATTTAACAAAGGAAAAGGAGAAGATGCAAACAACGCAAATAAAAAATGAAATGGGTGATGTTCCAACAGAACCAACCAAAATGAAAAGGATAATATCAGGATACTATGAAGAACTTTGAGAACAAAATACTGCCCAGATCTGCACCATGCTCACAAACCTTGCTATCTTTGAGGGCTTCGTTGCAGCCACTGTTGTCAATCCATCTTGTTGAGGGTCTTCCCCTTTTTCCCTGACTTTCCACTTTACCAAGCACAATATTCTTCCCCAGGGTCTGGTCCCCTCTGACAACATGACCAAAGTAGCTGAGACGAAGTTTCGCCATTTTTGCTTCCAAGAAGCATCTGGCTGCACTTTTTCCAGGACAGATTTGTTCACCCTGGCAGTCCACAGTATTTTCTGTATTCTTCACCAACACAATTCAAAGGCATCAATTTTTCTTTGGTCTTCCTTACTCATTGTCCAGCTTTCACATGCATATGAGGCTACAGAAAATATCGTGGCTTGGTTAGGTGAATCTTAGTCTTCAAAGTGACATTTTCACTCTTGAACAATTTAAAGAGGTTTTTTGCAGAAGATTTGCAGTAAGATGTCTGATTTCCTGACTGCTGCTTCCATGGGTGTTGATTGTGGACCCAATTAAAACGAAATATTTAACAACTTCAACCTTCTCCATTTATTGTGATGTTGCTTATTGGTCCAGTTGTGAGGATTTTTATTTTCTTTATGTTGAGATATTGAAGACTGTAGTCTTTGATGTTCATCAGTAAGTGCTTCAAGTCCTCTTCACTATTAGCAAGCAAAGTTGTGTCATCTGTGTATTACAGGCTGTTAAGGACTCTTCCTTCAATCCTGATGCCACATTCTTCTTCATATAGTCCTTGTTCTTATGTTATTTGCTCAGCATAAGACTGAATAAGTATGGTGAAAGGATACAACCCTGATGCACGCCCTTCCTGATTTTAAACCATGCAGTATTCCCTTGTTCTGTATGAATGACAGCCTCTTGGTCTATGTACAGGTTCCTCACCAGCACAATTAAGTGTTCTGGAATTCCCATTCTTCACAATGTTACCCATAACTTGTTATGATCCACACAGTTGAATGATCCACACAGTTGAATGCCTTTGTGTAGTCAATAAAATACAGGTAAACATCTTTCTGGTATTCTTTGCTTTCAGCCAAGATCCATCTGACAGCAGCAATGTTATCCTTGTTCCATGTCCTCTTCTGAATCCAGCTTGTGTTTCTGGAAGTTCCCTATCAACATACTGCTGCAATTGTTTTGAAATTATCTTCAAAATTTTACACGTGTGATAATATTATTCAATAATTTCCACATTCTGTTGGATTACCTTTTTCTGGAATGGGCACAAATATGGATCTCTTCCAGTTGGTTGGTCAGGTAGCTGTCTTCCAAATTTCCTGGCATAAACAAGTAAGCACCTCCAGCACTACATCCATTTGAAAACATCTCAATGGGTAAATGTCAATTCCTGGAGCCTTCTTTTTTTTGCCAATTCCTTCAGGGCAGTTTTGACTTCTTCCTCCAATACTGTTAGGCTGAAGCAAACCCAAGCCCCAATATGTCAGTTAGCAACTTCCTCCAGATGTCAGGCCCTGATGAGACAGCCTAATAAGACAACCGAAGTGACAAAACCCGCCCAGACTGGAAAGTCCCATGCAGTGACAAACTTCCTCTTGTGAAGCCCCCTCATGCTAATTAAGTACAGATCCATGCTAACAGCTAATTGGACCCCACCATTTCCTTAGTGTCCCCACTTAGGTCCTCCACAAGACTATAAACCCTACCCTCCCCAGCCAGGCGGTGCGACTTCTCGGGCCTCTCTTAGGGACCCGTGAACCTCGCCCGGGCCCCTCTCAGGGACCTGTAAACCTCACCTGGAAACTCAGAATAAAAACTTCTCTTTAACCTCACTTTTGTGCGTCCTCTTCTCCTTACCGTGGCCTTACAAATACCACTGGTTCTTGGTCATATGCTACCTACTGAAATGGCTGAACTTCAACCAATTCTTTTTGGTACAGTGACTCTGTATGTTCCTTCCATCTCATTTTGATGCTTCCTGCATTGTCCAATACTTTGCCCATAGAATCCTTCAATATCGCAACTTGAGGCTTGAGTTTTTCTTCAGTTCTTTCAGCTTGAGAAATATCAAGTGTGTTCTTCCCTTTTTGTTTTCTAACTCCAGGTCTTTGCACATTTCATTATAACAACTGACTTTTTCTTCTCAACTCATCCTTCGAAATCTTCTGTTCAGCTAATTTTTTTTTTTTAATTGTGATTTGGGTAAAAGTTTACAGAGCAAATTCACTTTCTATACAGCAGTTCACACACAAGTTGTCTCATGACACTGACTACAATTTACCCAATGCAACAGCTCCCTTCCTACTTCCACCCCATAGTTACCTCTTCCCTGTGTCCATCCCTCCATGTACTCCTGCCCCCTGAGCTGTCTCCCTGTGCATACACAGCCTTCTATTCTCTCATGATTGACTCTCTCCAAGGAATGCATCTACCTCAGGTACATGTTCAACTCATATGCCTGTCTTTTGTTTGGCTGGAAGCTACAGGTGTGGGTTCAATTCCACACCTGAAGGGCAGCTAGAGACCACAGTCTCAGGGGTTCTACCAGGCTCTATCAGACCAGCAAACCTGGCCTCCTTTTTTTCCCCAAATGATTTTGAGTTTTGTTCCACATTGTTCTCCTTGTCTGTCCAGGATCTCTTACATAGATCCCCCTCCGAGTGGTTGACAGTGGTAGCTGGGCACCATCTAGTTCTTCTGGTCTCATACTCATATAGGCAGAGGATTTCATGGTGTACCCTTCACGAGGACTAATTGTTTCCAAGAATCTTTGGTTTTCTTCATTCTTCTTTGCTCTGGAAGACGAGAGACCCATTGTTGCATCTAGATGGCAGCTTGCAAGCTTTTAAGATCCCAGTCGCTACTCGCCAAAGTAGGAGGTGGAACAATGTTTTGTGCAGTATGTTATGCCAATTGAGCTTGACGTCCCCTGTGACTATGGTCCTGAGCCCACAGGTTCAACTACTTGGTCCCTCTGGGTAGCTGGCTGTGACCAAAAAGTAACTACAAGCTTGTCCCTTCAGCTCTACTATACCCCTGGGAATTCTTACAGAACATACAAATACACTTGTAGAACCACTGTCTGTTAACCCTATACATGGTCTTGGGTACACTCCATGCTGCACAGACATACCTAATAGTTCAGCCTGTCCACCCATCTATCCACCCGTATACCTGTGTTTGCCTTCACTGACAACGCAGTACTGTATGTGCAAAAGGGTTCATTTTTGTTGTCTGTACCTCCCATGTACCTCTCTATGTCTTCCTCTTCCTCAATGCCACCACACTGATCACTCACATTTGGTACATTGTCCTTCTCTTCATCCAAATCAACACTTATCTCTACCTATCTAACAGTGTTCCCTCCCCTCCCCTACCACCCCTGGTAACCAACAAAAAAAATTTCCTTCCATATATAAAACATTCCTTGACTTTTACAATAACAGACTAATACAATATTTATCCTATGATTGACTTATTTCACTCAGCATAATGTCCTCCAAGTTCATCCATGTTATGAGGTGTTTTGCAGATTCTACATTATTCTTTAGAGTTTCACAGTATTCCATTGTGTGTATGTACCATAGTTTGGTCATCCATTCTTCAGTTCATGGAACCTAGGTTGTTTCCAACTTTTTGCTATTGTAAACAGTGCCTGTTCAGCTCTTTTACTTGTCATTTCTTCTATTTGCTTTAGCTACTCTGCATTCAAGGGTAAGTTTCAGAGTCTTTTCTGACATTAATTTGGTCTTTTCTTCCTTTCCTGTCTTTTTAATGACCTTTTGCTTTCTTCAGGGATGGGATGTTCATGGGACAAACTTAGAGATCTTAATAAACAGCATAAGTATACTTTTGAATGTAAGTAAAAATGCACAAAAACCAGAAGACAAAATAGATGACTAGGGACCTCCTAAAAATTAGACACTAATGTCCATTAAAAGACTTCATCAAAAGAGTAAACAGAGAACCCAGACACTGGGGAAAAAATTTTGCCAATGACATAGTGATCAAGGGCTAATCCCTAAAATTTATAGAAAAATTCAACACCTTAACAACAAAAAGACAAACAATCCAATTAAAAAAGGGCAGAGGATAGAACAGAGACTCCACCAAAGAAGACATTCAGGCACCTAACACACACATGAAGAAATGTTCATGATCATTAGCCATTGGAGAGACAAAAATCAAAGTAACAATGAGATATTATCTCACCCCAGAACATTAGCAGAGTTTTAAAAAGTAGAAAATAATAAATGCTAGTGAGTATGTGGAGAGACTGGAACCCTCATGCACTAATGGTGGGACCATAAAATGGTGCAATGATTATGGCAAACAGTATGGTGTTTCCTAAAAAGCTGGAAAGAAAAATATCGTATGATTTGGCAATCCCACAAGTAAGTATATATCCTAGAGAAGTAAGAGCTGTGATATGAAGAGATACATGTACATCCATGTTCACTGCAGCACTATTCACAAGAGCAAAGAGGTAGAAACAAACTAAATGCCCATCAAAGGATGAATGGACAAACAAATGGTACATACACACAATGGAATACTACACAACATTAAAGAACAATGATGGATCTGTGAAACACCTCATAACATGGATGAACCTAGAGGACATTATTCTGAGTGAAATTAGTTAATCATAAAAAGACAAACATATATGAGACCACTATTGTAAATACTTCAGAAAAGGATTTCATGCAAAAGGAAATACCCTTTGATGGTTACTAGGAATGCGAGGGGAAGGGAGGGAAAACCACTAAGTAGAGGGCAGACACACAATAACTTGGATGAAGGGGAAGGCAGTCAGAAAAAAAAGAAGAAAACTAAAGAGATTACATAGGAGGCTATGAAGGTAGACAGAGAATGCCATTTGTCTAAAATTTACTCTAATCATAAATTAAAGGTTTAAACTCAATTCCTGTCTTACCTTGTGCTGATTTACACTCCATATTCTTATGATGGAGTCTCGACCGGCTGTGAAGAGTCTATTTAGTGCTGGATCCAGCTGCAGGGCATTGACTCCATTTCGATTGTACTTCTCCACTTCATCTCGAATAACATAGGAGACCTGACAAATATTCAACATTTGCTTTTCTGGAGTTATGAAACATGGAATAATAAAATGTAGTGTATTAATAATGGCCAATCTGAAATTCAAAATCCTGGGCTGAAAAGGACTTTATTTAATTTTAATTTTACTCTATAAAGGCTGAAGGGCTGAGGAGAAGAGACAAATTGATATTAATGATACCCTAAACCAAGATGTGGTAAAGCAGAAGGTCACAAAAATGAGGAAAACCCTCCATAATATGGAGTGGCATGGTGGCTGCAACAACAGGCTCAAACATACCAAAAGTTGTGAGAATGGCAAGGACCAGCAACGTTCTATTCTGTTACATATGAGGGTGCCGTGAGTAGAAGCCAACTTGACAGCAACCCCTCTTTGGGTTTCCGAGGTGCTATCACTATAGAAGTAGATTGCCCAACCTTCCTTCCGAGCAGTGGCTGATGGGTTTGAACCGCCAGCCTTCTGGTTAGCAGTCAAGTGCCTTAGGCACTACGCTACCAGAGCTCCCTAAGAATATTCAAAATTGAACCCACTCCTGTGGCTTCCAGCCAAACAAAAGACAGGCATATGAGGTGAACATTTACACTAGGTAGATACACTCCTTGGAGAGAACAATCTTGGGAGAACAGAAGAGCTGTGTGCACAGGGAGACAGCTCAGGGGGCAGGAGTGCATGAGAGGGAAGGACACAGGGAAGAGGTAACTAGCTGGAGGAAGAGGGAGAGGAGCTGTTTCATTGTGGGAAATTGTAGTCAATGTCATGAGACAAAGTGTATGTGAACTGCTGCATGGAAAGTAAATTTGTGCTGTAAACTTTCACAATTTAATCACAATTAAAAAAAAATATTCAAAATTGACAATTCTTTCCTGAATTTGTAAACTTAGCCCAATTTTGGTTTGAATTCCAATAAATTCTTTCTAGAAATTGACAAAATAAATAACACATTTTTTGGGGGTGGGGGCACCAGGCAGTTTAAAAAATGAAGGTAACTGGAGGATATCCTTTGAAGATCTTAAAAGGTATTACACAAAGCTACCAGAACGACAATGGAGTAGCACAACAGGAACAATAAAAGGATCAATGGGATAAAACAAAATTATATCTACAAAGTCCCTTCTATCACGTAACTGTAACATACCCACAGATTCCATGGATTAGCACAAGTTCCTGCCAGCTTCCCCTCCAAAGTGCTTTTCCTCTAGTCTTCCCCATTTTAGTCAACCGCAACTCCATTCTTCCAGTTGCTCAGGCCCAAAACATTTGTGCCTTCCTTATGTCTTTCTTTCACATACTGTCAGCTCTACGTTGAAGATTCATCTAGATAGAATTCAATCACTTCTCACCACACTGCTTGGAACTGCCATCAACATAGCATCTGGATTTTCAAAACAGCTTTTTATCTGGTCTTCATGCTTTTGCCCTCGCTCCCCTGCAGTCTATTCTCAATATAGCAGCCAGGCTGATCCTATAAAAACATATGTCATATCATGACACTCTATTCAATACCCACTAACTGCTTCCCATCTCTCTCAGAGTAAAAGCCAAAGCCCTTAACTGTGACCTTTAAGGCCCTACATGATCTGGCTTACAATTACCTAATTTAATCTCCTACTGCTTTATCTCTCTTTCATCCTGTGCCAGCCACAAAGGTATCTTTATTGTTTCTGGAGTAGGTCAGGTACATTGCATTTGCTATTCTCAAGGGGAATGGTCTCCCATCAGATGGCTGTGTGGCTATCTCATTTCTTCAGATCTTTACTTAAAAATCATCTTTGCAGTAAGGCCTTCCCTGGCACCAAAACTAACACTTTACTTCTCTCTCCACCACTGCTTATCACTATCTCTAATCATTTTTAACCTTTAAAGCTTGTTTCCCAAAAATTTTATTATGAAAATTTCAAACATCCACAAGAGTTGCAAGAATTATACAGGGAATGGTCATAAGGCCACCACCTATATTTTACAATTGTTGTTGTTGTTATGTGCCATCGAGTCGGCCCCGACTCATAGCGACCCCTCCTTGGGTTTCTGAGGCAGTATCACTACGGAAGTAGGACTGCCCAACCTTCCTTCCGAGGAGTGGCTGGTGGGTTTGAACCACCAGCCTTCTGGTTAGCTGTCAAGTGCTTTAGCCACTATGCTACCAGAGCTCCTATATTTTACAATTAACATTTTCTATATTTGCTTTATCATGTATCTATCCGTCCCTCTATCCATCCATTAACTCATCTTAATTTCCGATGCCTTTCAAAATAAGTTGCACACCATAGATAAGCTCCCCCCTCTGAAAAAAACCCCTGAAAATCTGTTGCTCTCAAGTTGATTCCTACTCATAGTGATGCCTATAGGACAGAGTAGAATTGCCCCATAGAGTTTCCAAGGCTGTAATATTTAGAGAAGCAAACTGCCTCATCTTTCCCCCACAGAGTGGCTGGTGGGTTGAACTGTCAAGCTTTTGGTTAGCAGCTAAGCACTTAACCACTGTGACACTAGGGCAACTACCATCCAAAACACTTCTTCTAAATACCACAGTATGTATGTCACTAACAAGAGTCCGACTTTTGTTTATGGTTCTTTCTTTCTTTTTTTAGGTACAATATACATACAGTGAAATACTCAGATCTAAAGTTTACCATACTTTTGACAAATGAATATACCTGCACAATCCAAACCTATACCAAAACATATAGAGCATTATCACTATCAGTATCACACCCGAAAGTTTCCTCATTCTCTTCCCAATTTCTTCATTCCACTCCCAGGTAATCGCTGATGTGACTTATTTCACCAAATTAGTTTTGCCTATTCTACATCATATAAATGGAATCATGCAGTATGTACTCTTTTAAGGCTACTTACACACACAAAGAAAAAATTCAAGCCTTGGGTTGCAATACTGAAAGACTTTATGAGCAAAATACTGAATGATGCATGAAGCGTCAAAAGAAGATGGAAGGAATACACAGAGTTGCTGTATCAGAAAGAACTGGTCACCATTCAGCCAGTTCAGGAAGAACTGTATGACCAAGAACCAGTGGTAGTGAAGGGAGAAGTCCAAGCTGCACTGAAGGAACTGGTGAGAAACAAGCCTTCAGGAATTGATAGACTACCCATTGAGATGTTTCTAAACGGATACAGCACTGGAGGTGCTTAGTCATTTATGTCACGAAATTTGGAAGACAGCTACCTGGCCAACTGATTGGAAGAGATCCATATTTGTGCCCATTCCAAAGAAAGGTGATCCCATAGAACGTGGAAATTATTGAACAATATCATTAATATTACACACAGGTAAAATTTTGCTGAAGGTAATTAAAAAATGGTGGTAGCAGTATACTGACAGTGAACTTCTAGAAATGCAAGCTGGATTAAAAAGAGGATGTGGAATGAGGGATATCATTGCTGATGTCAGATGGATCTTGGCTGAAAGCAAAGAATACCAGAAGGATGTCTACCTATGTTTTACTGACTACTCAAAGGAATTCAACTGTGTGGATCTTAACAAATTATGGGTATAATTATTATGGGTAACATTGCGAAGAATGGGAATTCTAAAACACTTAGTTGTGCTCATGAGGAACCTGTACATAGACCAAGAGGCTGCTGTTTGAACAGAACAAGGGGATACTGCATGGTTTACAATCAGGAAAGGTGTACATCAGGGTTATATCTTCTTACCATACTTACTCAATCTCTATGCTGAGCAAATAATCCAAGAAGCTGGACCATATGAAGAGGAACACAGCATCAGGATTGGAGGAAAAACCATTAACAACCTGCAATATGCAGATGATATGCATGCTGAAAGTGAAGATGACTTGAAGCACTTACAGACAAAAATAAAGGCTACAATCTTCAACATGGATTACACCTCAACATAAAGAAAAGAAAACTCCTCACAACTGAACCAATAAGCAACATCATGACAAGAGAGAAAAGACTGAAGCTGTCAGGGATTTCATTTTGCTTGGATCCACAGTCAATACCCATGGAATCAGCAGTCAGGAAATCAGACGTTGTATTGCACTGGGAAAATCTGCTGCGAAAGACTTCTCTAAAGTGTTAAGAAGTAAGACATCACTTTGAAGATTAATTTGCACCTAACCCAAGCCATAGAATTTTCAATCATCTCATATGCATGTGAAAACTGGTCAATGAGTAAGTAAGAGCAAAGAAGGGCTGATGCTTTATAATTGTGGTGTTGGTGAAGAATCCTGAAAATACCATGGACTGCCAGAAGAACAAATAAATCTGTCCTGAAAGAAGTGCTCCTTGGAAGTGAGAATGGCCAGACTTCATCTCACCTATTTTGGTCATGTTGTCAGAAAGGACGATTCCCTGGAAAAAGATATCATACTTGGTAAAATAGAGGGTCAGTGAAGAACAGGGAGACCCTCAAGAAGCTGCATTGACACAGTGGCTTCAAAGATGGGCTCAAACACAGCAAGGATTGTGAGAATGGTGCAGGAAAGGGCAATGTTTTGTTCTGTTGTACATGGAGTCACTGTGAGAACTGACATAATGGCATCTAACAACAACAACAATTTATAGGTATGAGGCTACTTTAGCCCATTCAAAAAGAAAAATCTGCCAAATACTGGTATTTCCTAGATCAGGATTTTCCTGTCCAATCCTGTGGACCAAGACTTTCTGCCTATATTAAAATTGTATTTCAATAGCTTTTTTTTAAAAAAAATATCCTAACAAGTGGTCTTGCAAGTAACAATAAGGCATCTTCTAAACTATCTTCTTCTAAACCATGGGTTGTTAGTGCACTTGCACACACAAAAATCTATGGACAAATCCAGCTTAAAGCTAGTTTCTGTAAAAAAAGTTTTATTATAACACAGTCAACAACTACTCAACAACTATTGAGTATCATCTATGGTTGCTTTCACATTATAATGACAGAGTTGAGTGGTTACAATAGAGACAGTATGGTTTGCAAAGCCCAAAATATTTACACTATCTGGTCCTTGACAGAAGAGCTTGCTGACCCC